GACTCCCATGGCACAGAACCACGAGTTTGTGAACTCTGCCACATTACATATGCAGCTATGCAAAAGTCCTAGCCAGATGTTGTCACTGGTGGTTCAGTGACAGCAATTCTCTCTCCACCCTTAAGCTACACCGGGAAAGATGATAAAAGCTTTTTAGCTGGTGAGAGCTTTGCTCTACCCAGGCCTAAGGCCCCAGGCTGGGGAAGCCCATCTCATCCCAGGTGGGTCTTCCGTTTGGGGATCCGGAACACACAAACGATCATATTTGCATTTCCTCTTTTGAACCAATAAGACCTCTAAAGTATCAAATGTATCAACCTCTAAAGCCTGGTTTTAGGCTCCCAGCCAAATCTCCATCACACATTCCACTAACCAGACATTCATTTTCGTTCGTTTAACAAGCTAGTCCATTACCAAACAAGTGTCCCGGGGGGCAACTTGGGTATCAGTCATTCACAGGGAGGTAGATAACTTTAATCACTGGGATTTCTCTATAAAACTAAGATTAACACAAGGAAGGGATTCCGAATGGGAGAAGGGAGGTCAAAGAGGGGAAGAGTGGTTTTAGAGCCTATTGCCATTTGGAGGAAGAAAGATCTAGAAGGGGCATCCTGTGGGGTTGGGTGGGGATGGCACTGGACAGGAAGGAGGCGGCAGAGCACTGGGCAGCCAGGGCTGGAAGATGCTCAACATCAGGAGAGAGGGGATGGGGACACAGACAGAAGAGAACATCAGAAGGCATTTCACAGGCTCGGTGATGTCACCAAGTTCAGCAGCACTCTGCACCGTGCACTCACTGGCACCTGCCCTGGAGAAGAGGAGAATCACTCTATCCTGTGCAGCGTGTGTGCTGCTGGGAGAAAGGCCTGGAAGCCCTTTGGAAGGTGTGCTCATGATCCAGTATCCCTGGCTGCACTGCTGATTCTGGCTAAACCATGTGTGGGGTGGCACGGAGGAGGCTGAGGGACCCAGGGGGCACTGGCGAGGAAGAATTGGGCCAACAGAGTGGCCCTTCTGCATCTATTTCAGGAGGCTCAGAGTCCTTCACAACGGAAGTCCGGTCATCAATGGAACCTCACTGCAGCCCAAAGGGAAAAGAGAGGCATGTGATAGAAGCTTTCCTCATTCACATCCACTATACTAGCTCCTTCCCTTCCCCCAAACCTGACACCCCAGGTCAAGCCACACCCAGCTTTCTGGTGCTGACCTGTCCCCGCTCTGCAGCACATCTTATTTAGCCAGTGCAAACGCATGCACTCAATCTCCCTCATGTCCCATGGGCCATGCGGCATCCAGGCTAAGGAAGCCTGTTCCCTCCCTTCCAAAACCTTGCCAGAGGAACAGCAGGACCCCTAGTGCAACAGGTGAGCAAAGCTGCTCCTGGCCATACATTAACAACACTTGTAAGTACAGAGGCCAGGGAGGAGGGAGGGTGTGAGTCGGGGGTCCCCGGGACCCGCTCGTTCTCTTCTCCCCTGCCTCTCTCTGTGCCAGGGCGTCTGATAGGAATGCACAGAGATGCTAGCAATCACTCAGTTCATTAGCTGAAAACTAAGTGGTGACCTCTCAATTCAGTCAAAATGGTGGCCCCAACCGCACATTTGGAAATCACCATTGTTATACACACATGTACACCCAATGCCTTTTCCCTCTTGTATAGACCTGAAATATTCAAACATTGCAAGCACCAATCCAGGCAAATGCTCTTAAGTCAGAAATGACAAAATCTCACAGAACAGCCCTTATGTGATAAGCTCAGATTAAAGGTGAAAATTCAGGGGGCACTGCAGAAAGGCCAAGCCAGAACAACTAAGCAACTGAGGCTATGTGGACCGCAGAAGCTGAAACTGTCTTGTTTGGTTGGGTTTGGTTGGGTATTTTTCTCTTCAAATCTCCCCCTCCATGTGCCCTAGGTCTACAATTTAAAATTTCTATTAAATTCAGGGAGTGTTCAAACAGGAAGCTCCAATGATCAAACATCTAAGCTTCTAAAAATGGACAAGAACAGAGATGCGTTATTTACCCCAGTGAAATCACATCTTTCAAACTTGAGTTTTAATTCACTGCCATCATTACAGGATGGCCATTATCAACCCTTGTCCCTGATCTGCCATTTTTTATACCATCTCTTTTTCATTCCCCAGTTCTTTTTCTGCTCCCTCTAGGACGTTAGAATTACCAGCACAACTTGCCATACATGAAGCTGCTCGCTCAACCACGATGCCAAAGGATCTCTATTCACGTAGGGAAGTATTTCACACCCAGTTTTCGGTACAAGTTACGTCATTAGAAACTTTTACTTCAATTGTTTGATCCCTTGGAACAAAGCTAGTTCTTTGGATGTAGGTTGTTCTTGTTGACCCCTAGTGAAATATGGATATGAGACACTCCCCTATAGGAATAAATTAGAGGACAGGGCTGGGAGGGTGCATATAAATTAAGCACTTAGTTGCCTCCCCTTTTGAAAATGACAGCAAATGAGTTTATCTTTCTTGGTTGGTCCTATGAAAGTCAAAAGCTGCAAAACTGCCCTGGGATGCATCCTGCATCAAAAAGGTCACATCATGCCCCCCACTGTTATCACCTCTGTCAACTCTTAATTGTTCTCTAACAGCTGTCAATGTGAGCACATAACCTGAATGTCCAATCAATGCTTCTGGAAGCCCTCAGTGAATGTGTGCAGACCACTCCCACTACTCTGGAAGCCCTTTGAAAAGAAGGAACCTCTTGAACTTTTTTTTTTTTTTTTTTTTTTTTTGAGACTCGAGTCTCACTTTTGTTGCCCAGGCTAGAGTGAGTGCCGTGGCGTCAGCCTAGCTCACAGCAGCCTCAAACTCCTGGGCTCAAGCGATCCTCCTGCCTCAGCCTCCCAAGTAGCTGGGACTACAGGCATGTACCACCATGCCCGGCTAATTTTTTGTATATATATTTTTAGTTGGTCAATTAATTTCTTTCTATTTTTTTTAGTAGAGACGGGGTCTCGCTCAGGATGGTTTCGAACTCCCAACCTCGAGCAATCCGCCCGCCTCGGCCTCCCAGAGTGCTAGGATTACAGGCGTGAGCCACCGCGCCCGGCCTCTCTTGAACTTTTTATAACTATCCTTCGCTTGCCCTACCAGGCAAGGCACACAATAGATGTTCAATAAATAACCATTCATTGATTGATTTTCCATCTTCACCAAAGGGCGGGGGAGAGAAACCGAGAACAAGTATGAAAATATTCTGCACTGTGAAATTATCAATAGAGAGAGTAAGGATGTGAAAAAATTGCACCAAGATAAGGGTCACCCAGATGAATAAAAAATCATAGAGTGAGAAGACAACTGCACTTACAATGCCCACTGCTCATATTTCCCAGATGGTGACAAACATTTTCTGAAATTAAGGTTATGGTTAGCCAAATGGGCCTTCTTTGTTTCCCCATCAACACGGCAGAGGGGGGTTAATCTTCTTTGATTAAATGTGAGGGGTCCCTCCCCCTTGTCCTTTTTACCATTTGAACGCAACCCGGTTCCCAAAGTGGCTCGCACACAGCGGCAGGGGAGCGCTCCGGGGAGCCCCTGCCGAGACACTCAGCGGAACTTTGTTCTCCACATGGGCTATTTAGGAGCGTCCTGGTTTCCTCGGGTGACTCCACGGCCTCCCTCGCTCTTCTCAAGCTGCGAACAGGAGTCAAGGGTGGTGAGATCCTCCGAGGCGGTCCGGGGAGGCGCTGACCGTGGTGCTGGCCTCGGAGCTCGGATGTGCGCACAGAAGGCGCCCGAGGAGGTGCATCGGGAGCGGCCGCCCGAACCCCCGCCCCTCCCTCCCGACCCCCGGGGAGCCCGCGGGCCTTCCCGCAGACCCTCCCCTGCACGCTCCGAGCTGCATCAAAAAAGGGTGGGGCACCCAGCCACAGCTGCAATCGGAAGCCGCCCGGGAGGATTTAAGAAGAATGGAACCGCCCACCCCCTCCCAGACTACCCCACACCCCCAACCGGGATCGGCCCGTCCTTTCCGCCCACCCCCCACCTCCCAGGCTCTGGGAGCCGCGGGCCGCCTTTGTGGGCGCACGGCCGCCCACCGCCGAGCCCGAGCCTCGCCGCACCCTACGCGGGGAAGGGGCGGGCAGGGCGCGGTGCGCGTGCAGATGCGGGAGGCGACATTCAAGGCGGGGCAAGAAGGCGGTCGCGCCGGGGTAAGGGGGTGAGGGAGGGGCGATCCCCGCGCCCGGTCCTTCGTCTCCACCCCCCACCCCCATACCAACCTGGTCGTAGATGTTCTGCAGGGCTTCCTTGCCCGTGGCCCGCCGGATCTTCACCTTCCGAGCCGATTCAACAGATGGCTCCCCGCTGGAGCGACCGCCCTGCCGGGAGTACGGCGGCTGCGGGTCCGGGCCCAAGTGGGCGACGTCCCGCTGCTGAGCCACCACCTGCCCCGAGCCCCGGCCCACCGACAGCGAGTCGAAGTCGATGGTCTTGTTCTCCGAGGACCCTTCCACCGGGCAGAACATGCCACAGAATTTCTGCCGGGGCTTGGGGCTGCCCGAGCCCAGGTTCTTAAAAAAGGCAGGGACCTCTTCGTCCTCCGCCGCCTTCCCGGATTGCTTTCTCTCGGCCATGGCGCGGGGCTCGGGGAGGGTCGTCTCCGTCCGTCCGTCTAGGTCTCCCCCTCTGTGTGCACAGACCCCTAGCTGCTGCCGCGGCTGCCGCGCTCTGCCTACCGCAAGGTGTACAGAAAGGAAGGAGGGCTGGCGAGCCGGCGACCCACCCTCCCGGTCCCTCCCCCTGACCCCGCTTTCTCCCCTCCCTGCCCACGCCCCCCGCAGCCACCGCGAGCTCTGGCGAGCGGCAAAGTTGGGTCTGGGAGGGCGGCTGCTGCGGCAGCGGAGCCGAGAGGCTGCCAGTTCCCGGCAGCGCCGCGAAGGGGAGGCGCGGGCGGGGCGGGGGCGGGGCACGGCGCCGGGGAGCCGACGGGAGGGGGGACCCGGAGGCGAGGAGAGGGGAGCGGTGCGCAGGGGAGGCGAGGAGAAGGGGGAAGGAGGGGAGGGCGGTGCCACCCCGAGCCCGCGCTCCGGAAGTGAAGCGGCCAGACCACCGGCTAATGGATGCTGAGCAGAGAGCCTGCTGACCGCTCTCGGCTCCAGGGTGAGTATGGGGCAGGGTGCGCGGGAGCGAGGACAAGAGGGCGCAGCCCCTGGCCCCGCGCCCCTTTCCCCTACCTGCCCGGCCCGGGCTCCTTTCCTCCACCGCATTGCGGAGGTGGGCCGGGGGGCGAGTGCGCATGGTGCCTGGAGCTCCCGCCCCCTTATTCTGGTAAGGGCAGATGCAGGGGAAAGGGGGACAAACTGGCAGGCGCCAGGACAGTTGGGGGCTGGGAAGGGGGCCGGCCCTGGGGATGGGCAAGGGGTCACGCAGGTAGCGCGGACAGAAGGGGCCAGCCGAGGCGCGGGACACCAAAGCTTCAGTTTGCCCACGCGTTTCGGTGGGCTGCGGGGAGCAGAGTGTGAAACTAGGAGGTCCTCTCTTAGTGCACGCACGGTGGTGGCGGTGGCTGCAGCGGGGGGCGCACAACATGGCGGGAAGACATGCAGAGGGGCGAAGCAAATCCCAGCCCTACTTGGTGACTTGTAGAGGGTGCAGACCCTCTATATTGCCCGAGGGCGCCATATGCAGTGTCCGCGCCACTGCGCCAAGAAGAGGCCAGGAGAGCGTCATGATTCAGTATCTTCCCCCCCACACACATGAAAACAAAAAGGTGGGAAGGAGAAACAGATCGAAGCCCACTCCCTAAATCGCCGGCGTTTCCCGAGCCCCGGGCGCCCCGCCTTGTCCCCACCCCCGCTGGTGTTGCGCACTGCGCCACAGCCGAGAGGTTTCCCAGGTTGTCAGATGTTGCGGGCCTGGGGCGCCAGTGTGGGAGCGCACGGGGTGCGGGGTGGGGGGTAAGAGGTCTGGTGCCGGCTGGGAGTACCGTGGATCGTGTGGGGCCAAGCGGGGGAAAGGTGTGTAGGAACTTGGTGTGTACGTGCAGTAGTTCAGCCACGGCCACCGGGTTTGCGAGTGTCTAGGGGGCATTTTGATTTGCGTAGGTACTGCGATCTCCGAGGGTCTTTCATTGCCTATTCCCATCTCCTTGTCCTTAGCTCGTAGCATTCCCTGTCTCTGGTGGGTTAGAGCCCCGCCTCTCTTTACACAGTGGCAAAATCCCGCAGAAATGATGCCCATCCTTTGGCGGCTCGGGAGGGCGGTCTGGGCATGCTCAGTAACCAGGGTGGGTTCGGGCTAAGAGAGGCAGTTTAGCGCAGGGCAGTCGCTCAGGGCAGTGCAACCAAGGGTTTGGTCCCATTGTCAGCCCTTGCCCCAGGAAGGATTAAATGCGGATGCCTCCTCCCGCCCCAATTGTGAGAGCTACTTTGGTGAATAGAGTCACATTTGGAGGACAAGCAGTTACAGGTTGAAATCTGAGAAAAGGATCTCCAGCTAAGAACGGGAGAAGGAAGATGAATATACACGTGCAGGTGTTGAGAGGATCCCAGACGGGTTTTTTGGACTTAGCATCAGATGTGCTTCGAGTTTGAATAAAGCGCTTCCACATGAATTACATCATTTCCTACCATTGGCAGCCCTGTGAAATGAGTGCTTTATCCGCAGGGCTTTCCAGGTTAGGAAACTGAGATTTAGAGAGATTGGGGTGCATTGCCTGAGGTCAGGTATTTATTCTACTTAAGTGACCCAACAATTCCCGTGGGCATCTTCCACCTCAAAGTCTGCCTCCTTCTCCAGCTTGTGCTGTGGCCCCCTTTATGTAAAAAAAATACAAGGTTCTTACTTTTTTTTTCCATATCCAAATATTTCCATCCGGTGCCCTATTACATATCAAGGGCGTCTCACTTGCCATCTTTTTATTTGAAGGTCGCATTTCAGGTAGGGAGGGATTGCCTTTGGGAGGAAGAGCCATCTAAAGGTAGCCTAATTTTATCGTGACAGTTATTATGTAGACCTTAGAGATATTTCTTCCTGGGCATTCAAGGCCTTTATACATCCCATGTTTCCTCTAAATATTCCAATGGGAAGGAAAGTTGACTCCATATTTTGGAAGGGAACAGTCAGAAGTGGGCAGTCTCCATCCCTGGGGCTGCCGGCATGGGGGGAAGCAGCATTTGTCCTCCTGACCCTTTGCCACCCCTGGTGCCATCAGCACCTCCCGGAAGACTCGGGAGATGTGCCCACAGCAGCAGCAGCTGCTAATATCCCTGCAGGTTGGCATCTGTGGCATAGGGACCCCATTTGGACTGATGGGGATTTTCAGCCAAGGAGAAAATGGTTGTAGCCCCAGCACACTCCACAAACATAACTGGAAGCTATTACAAGATCGTCCCTTTTCAGGTTTTCCCAATCCCCAAAGGCCCTCCAGAACCGACTCCTTAACAGATGTGTTTCCTCCCTTTTTCTTTTTTCTCCAGTGACCTGTTCAAGTGCTGGGAAGAAAGTGATAGTAACTTGCTATTCATAGCAAAAGTAGTACCTAGTTGTGCATTCACAAAGCCTCACCAGACCCCTAGCAAAAGAGAATTAATTCATAATTTCAAATTTAACTTATTTGGCCCTGAGGTTTTTTTTTCCTAATTGATATACCCCTGTGAAATTATTTTTAAATGTTTGAGCGATTCTTAGATATTTTTAATCAAATAACTGAAGCAGTTTAATATTGTTTAGTGGAATTGTGAAGGACCGCCATATTTTCAAATGAGTGAAACATAAAGACATGTTACTATTTATTTATGTGTAACAGGGCACTTGGCTTGACTGGAGCTGATGTGGACACGCCATTGTGTGGAGGTGGGGGGCATCTTCCTGTGTTGGAAGCTTCTTGACTCGCAAGGAACATTCCAGAACACCTGAACAGGTATCTAGCCACGTCTCCTGATTTCATCTTTCACATGGCAAAGATCTTGACTCCTGTCACAGCTGGGGCCCAGACGTTAATCAACGTGTCTGACAAGTGCATGGTGGGGAAGCCAGATTTCAGTGGGTCCCCAAGAGAAAAAAATCACAGTAAGCAAAGAAGGGGTCCAACAGAGTAGGACAGACACAGCACAGTGTGAGGCAGGACCCCGGGCTGTCTCCAGTCCCATCTCTAACTAGAGCTCTGATGCTTCCTGGAAAGGCGGGGCTGTGTGGTAAAACTGAACGTTGTCTCCCTAGGGCTCCAAGCCGCCCCGCTGGGAGGCTTCTTTGCAAGAGTTCCAGGTGCCAGAGTGGAAGGCATCTTTCCACCGACTGGACAGAGGCAAAGCATCGGAGACCAGGAGATCGTACAGGCAGCTGTCCCAGGTGCCTTGGTGGACAGTCAGAGCAGGGTGAGCACACGTGGCTGCCAGCATCAGTGACAGAGACAGCAGCAACCAGACTGCAGAACCCAGACACAAGCCACCCACTTTGGGTCAGGTCTAAAGACACACTGGGAAGTGCTGAGTTCTTGCCCCTGGGAAGGTAAGGGTCACTGGTCCAGAAAACGTGAGGCTGTCTTGGAGTGACCTAGCCTGGGACTCATTCCCTGGTGGATAGGCTTAGAAGCTCATCGAGGGTATTTTTGATCCTAAGGCAGTGCACATCGCACTCACTGGTCCTGTAGAGTCAGAGTGAGTGAGGTCGTGGGACAATGGCACTGGCACTGCTGGAAGACTGGTGCAGGATCATGAGCGTGGATGAGCAGAAGTCGCTGATGGTCATGGGGATACCGGCGGACTGCGATGAGGCTGAGATCCAGGAGGTCCTTCAGGAGACGTTAAAGTCCCTGGGCAGGTATCGACTGCTTGGCAAGATATTCCGGAAGCAGGAGAATGCCAATGCGGTCTTGCTAGAGCTTACAGAGGACACTGATGTCTCAGTGATCCCCAGTGAGGTTCAGGGGAAGGGGGGTGTCTGGAAAGTGATCTTTAAGACCCCTAACCAGGACACTGAATTTCTTGAAAGACTGAACCTCTTTCTAGAAAAAGAAGGGCAGACAGTCTCGGGTATGTTCCGGGCCCTTGGGCACGAGGGGGTGTCTCCAGCCACAGTGCCCTGCGTATCCCCAGAGCTGCTGGCCCACTTGGTGGGGCAGGTGATAGTGCACGCCCCCCAGCCCCTGCTGCCCATGCGATACCGGAAGCTGCGGGTGTTCTCGGGGAGTGCTGTGCCAGCCCCCGAGGAAGAGCCCTTTGAGATCTGGTTGGAACAGGCCACTGAGATAGTCAAAGAGTGGCCAGTAGCAGAGGCAGAAAAGAAAAGGTGGCTGATGGAAAGCCTGCGGGGGCCTGCCCTGGACCTCATGCACATAGTGCAGGCAGACAACCCATCCATCCGCATGGAGGAGTGTCTGGAGGCGTTTAAGCAGGTGTTCGGGAGCCTGGAGAGCCGCAGGACCTCCCAGGTGAGGTATCTGAAGACGTACCAGGAGGAAGGGGAGAAAGTGTCAGCCTATGTGTTACGGCTAGAAACCCTGCTCCGCAGAGCGGTGGAGAAACGGGCCATCCCTAGGAATATAGCCGACCAGGTGCGCCTGGAGCAGGTCATGGCGGGGGCCAGCCTGAACGAGATCCTGTGGTGCCGGCTTAGGGAGCTGAAGGATCAGGCCCCGCCCCCCAGCTTCCTGGAGTTGATGAAGGTGATACGGGAAGAGGAGGAGGAGGAGGCCTCCTTCCAGAATGAGAACATCGAAGAGCCTGAGGAACAGGTTGGCTATGACCGCTGGGACAATGAAGGAGACCACTAAAGTCCACCTGGGAGTAGGACTCTCAGCCAGTCCGCCTGGGGGACATTCACTCTGCTAGGCTAAGACCTTCTCAATGTATTTTTCTTTAATATGAAATATTAATTAATTATTATGGGATATTAATGAGTTTACTTAATTCAATATGAGATTGAAATCAAGGCATTCTAGCCCATTCTTGATTTTTCTTCCTAAGAAAAAAACACTTGGGAGATCTTAGACCCTAGGTAGATTATTAATCAACAAAAGATTAAATTCCAAATATCAGTAAGCATGAAAGGAATCTAAAACACTGTACTTCCAGTTTCCTTTAAGTACTCCCAAATAAGCCAAAGTTTACCATACCATAGAAGAAAAAATTGACGTTTGAAAAAAAAAGAATCTTTTGTAATAATGTTTACAAATGAAGCTGTTCCGACTTGACAGGTATTGTTCTTTCTCCAATCAGCAAATTCTCTCTTAAGTATCTAGCATTGTGAGACACCATATGAGGAGTTACAGACCACAGCTAAGATCTATGGTTAAGCAGCTATAAACCTATAGAACAGGCCAGGCCCTCAGGGAGGTTCCAGTCTCCATAAGCAGATGGCCTAGACTGGTGAAAGGGTAACTAACCCTTTGTGTAAGTAAGTTCCTAACTCACATAGACATGTCATCACTCAACGAATAGGATCATCTCTGCCTGTAGGTTTCTTTCTTCTCTCACCTGGGAAGTGTTCCCCCTCCCCCCTCTGCTAGGTGTCAGATAGATGGTTCCAGAGCTAGGTGCTGTGTCAGGCCCTGAAGACACAGATGACATGGCCTAATCCCTGCTTTCAAGAGGTCCCCAAAGAAAGGGTGGACACAAAAGGACAGTACGCATGGGAGGGGGCATGTGCGGGACAAGTTTGGATTTAGTGAATGGGCCGGTGTGGTTAGGAAGGTTTTAGAGGCGGCAAAAGGCAGAGAGGAGAGGAAAAGAACTCACATTTATTGAGGGCCTACTATGTGCAAGATGTTTCATGCGTATCCCGTGAGTGTGTACAGCAATCCTATTGTGGTATAATTTTGCTCTTTATAAAGGGAAAGAAATTGAAGCTCAGATGGATTAAGTGGTCTCAACACTCAAATGCTGAGAAGTGGTAGAGTCTAGACAGAAGCCCAGAACTCTCTGACAATGACACACAATAATCCACTCTCCACCACTGTAATGGCTTTCAAATTGTGCTCCACAGTTCTGCAGAGATTTTTCATCAGTGTCATCTTCAGAATGTATTTTAAACTCTTTAAATCTCTAATAAGTAGCAAGTAGACTCAAGTGTGCTGATAACCAAATTTTAACATGCTAGTATTCACCAACAGGTTTGCTTTTATTTCCAAATTGATTCACTTTGTGCAGACCTTGGAATAATGCTTCCCTTATGGTATCTGTACACGTATCCACACTACTCTTAATTGTTCATAGATTTAAAAAGTTGCAGCACTTCATGGGCATTTAAATCCGGCCTGTGCATGTCATGTAAAGTGTGCTAGCACAGCATAAATGAGCACCATCCAGTTACGTGATAGGCAAAGCTCTGACACAGTTCACGTATGGTCTCGTGGTAGATTTGTGCGGACTATAAGCAAGTTGCTTAGCTTCTCTAAACATCAGGGTCCTCATCTGAAAAATGAGACGATGAGAGTACAGGATTGTTATTAGGATCAAATGGCATGGTGCCTTTTGAGCACTTTGCATGGTGTCTGGAACAGAGAAGGCCCTCGCTACGTTGAGGCTCTTACGGTTTTCATGATGCTTACTGCCTGCACAGTGCATGCCCTCTGACAGTTGTGTAGTCACAAGTAAATACAAAATCTTCCAGTCGGGTTGTGATGCCATTGCATTAGAAACCACGTCAGCTCCTATTGTAAGTCTCAGTGCTTGTCGTCTTTTATATTTGCGATGAGTATTACAGCAGTTGTTGATGATTGTTAGAGATTCGAGTTGAAACAATAATTTCTTCTTTCTAGTTGTGGGTCAGTTTAACCAGAGACTACCCTGTAATTTAAGAAAAGCATTTTTTTAAGAAAAGCTATCATTTGTGATTGTTTATCTTCCTAAATTATATTTTCAATACTGTTTGGCCAAAGTGATGCAATTGTTGGCCATTACACTGATTTAATGTGTTTTTCTGTTTGTGAAAATGGCCTTGTTGTTGTCATTTATTGACAGTATGCAAAGTAAAATGTTATAAATGTGAAGTTATAAAATAAATATATGCTAATAAAATCCTGAGTTTTTTCTCATTCCTATAGTATGGCCTCTATAAGCTATTGCTTGAAAAAGGAACTTTTCATTACTAAAAATTTGTGAGAGATAAGTTTAGAAAATCAAGCTAAAGCCAAAAAGGTCTTGAACTTCTCTAGGCAAGAAGTTGAAAACAAAATGCTAGAATGAGAGTACTTGGGCTATGTCTCCAGGGATAAGAGACAGCTCAGCCCACCCATCATCGATGTCCCTTTTAAAACACACAAAGACAACAGATGGAGACCACTCCCCTTGGAGACTGCCAGCACATTTGCTTGGGAAAGCAACTGTGCACATGAATTTCCCAGCCTCTGTTTGGCCAAGGGTGAAATGACCTAAAGGTTGAATATTGTATTTCTGGGCTGAAATGGCCTTTATTATATAGATGTGTAGAGGGGAAATGCCTCTTGCATTTGGGCCATACACATTGCAGACCTGTCCATTAAAGAGGAGTGTCCCAAGGAGTGCTCAGCACCGAGTGTCTCCCATTCGCCTGAGCAAACCCTCTTGGAAGTGGTCTCACCTTGCACTTCACGTCTCCAGGGCTGACCCTCAGAGAGTCTCCAGGGTTCTCACATGACTGCCGAGGATAAATTTCCACCAGAGCTCTCTAGTGACAACTGCAGACCAAGCCATCAGTCTTCTGCCTCTTTGGGCCTGAGGTGTCATCTCACACTTACACCAGCCATGCCCATGAGGCATCACCTCCTACTGTGTTCTGCTTCCTCCTAAATGCAAGACTCCATCAGCAGCTCTGTGCTCTTGTTTCCATGCTGTGCTGTGCTGTGCTTCCAACTCACCTTCTAGATATCCCACGGTGTCCTAGACAACCCAGCCTGGGTCATCAGAGTGTTTGCTGAATTCCTTGTCACCATATTTCTTCACCGAACTCTGGCCCCGTTGCAGTCCTCTGTGGCCCAGGTGGCCCCTTAAGAGGAGGCAGCTCAGTCTCCCCACCATAGGAGAGATTGGAGGGTGCTGGTAGCATTTCTTACAGTTCACTGCCATTGTGTCCCCACTTATAAAACATATTTGCTCCTCCTGGCATAAGCTCACCCACTCTCCCCCACCACCGTCTGCAGTGGCCCGATGAGCTTGGATGATGACGATGACAGAGCAATGACAAAGCAAGCCAGTGCAGAGAGGGGTCCCTTTAGGGCTGATCCTAGCTGGGCATTACCTAAATTGACAAAGAGTGGGAAGCACAAGATAATGACTATGAGCCGTGTCCAAGGGCATCCTACAAGACCGGGAAAGCAAGGAGGGTTAGAAGCTAGAGTTCTGAAGGAGCAGGGCCTGAACTGAAACACAGAAATGAAGCCAGAGGCTCCAGGACAAGTGTTATCAAATGTGCTCCATCCTTGTTTCATGGTGGCCACCAGCACAATCTCTGGATGGTCTGAAGGCTGAGGACCGGGGCAGATATCTCTTCCATCCCCTCTCAACAGGGTGGGCCAGGGATTCCTTGAGTTTTCCAGGGAAGACTTGGATGCATTGAGAAACTGTCTCTGCGAGAAAGATGGTGTTGTGGGTGGGCTTCTCAGAAGCACCTTCCCATTGTCCCAGGCCCTGGCGTTGTCATGGTCCAAACTTGTGTGACACAACTCCTCTGCCAGCCCAAGTGCCCCTTGACTTCCCAGAGGGACCCTTTCTTGGAAATGAGAGCAACTCCAGAAGTGTATGCCAAAATCAATTTTATCATAAGGAAAAAGGTTTAGGATTTCAGTTTTGCTTTCAGGACACCAGCTGGAGCTGCCTATTAACTGTCCAGGCTGCTTTAAACAACAGCTGGGGCTTTTTCCCAACCTGCTCCACCCGCCAACCAACAAGGGAAAAGTTGCCAAAGGGGAAGAGTCACTGGACTATGCAGGGGGTTGCTGAGGCTGGAAGCCACTGTAGGCAGCCCCAGGGCAGGTAGGGGAAGGGTGGTGGTCCCCATCCCACCCCACCCACCCCCCTGCATGGCCTGACAGTTCCAAGGAAGGCCTTTCCTGGCTTCCTGGCACAATAGCTTTGCCAAAAAGCTCAACTGTTAAAATAAAAGCTTTCATGAAACTACCGTGTTTCCCCAAAAATAAGACCTACCCATAAAATAAGCCCTAGCAGGATTTCTAAGCATTTGCACAATAGAAGCCCCACCCCGAAAATAAGCCCTAGTGCTGGGCGTGGCTACGCAGCGCTTCTGCACAACCCATGCATTTCCTCACGGAGAGGTAAAGAAAATGAGCAGCCCTTCTCATCTGCCCCATGAGAGCTCTTTTGCTCCACATGAGAGATTGGGGCCAATGTTTCTAAAGGAAATAGAGTCGCAAGAAATTCAGGGTGGAATTCGGGGTTTGGAGAATTATGATGATGATCCAGTAGAAGAACAACTTAACCACATTTGAATAAATGTAGATTGTTGTACCATACTTTAAAAAAATAACACATCCCCTGAAAATATAAGCCCAAGGGTATCTTCTTGAGGAAAAATAAATGTAAGACCCTATCTTATTTTCGGGGAAACATGGTAACAAGCAGCTGTCACAAAAACAAACTTTACATTGTGAGTGAACATAAGCAAGGCAGCGGAAGCCAGTTTGGTGAATGAGAGAGGCTGGGTTCTGCTGACTAGCTGTTGTACTGCACACGCTGGTAATGTCCCCTTCAAAGGTGTCAGCCACCGATGACGCTCGTGGAGCCTGGGGACACTGCTCTCTGTTTAGGTGGTGGCTAGTGGACATTTTAAATGTTCTAAATAGAGGTCTTATATACGAGATTAAGGCAACTGTAAATCTCCATGGCTAGGTGTACTGCTGTCTCGGGAAAAACATCTACCAATCCAGAAGGGTCAGGGCCATTTGCAAGTTCAAGGTGATTGATGGATCTAAACCTAAGGTAGTAATTCTTAGGACTCACAAGCCCTGTCACTGACCTGCATTTACGGCCTTCAAGTGGCAATGAGGGATGAGAAACAAAGCTGTAGAGGTCCACAGGCCATACCCAGGGCCCTGTACAAGCTTCAGTAAATTACGAATGGGCTACTTGGCAGAGCCATGGAACCCCTGGGCCATATTTCCCCACGGGGACCACTAGGTTCTATCCGCGCCTGAACTATGCGGGAGCTATTTCTCCTTGACCAGGCCTGTCCTCAAGTCCTTTGGGGCTTCACAATTCACAATGGCATGATCTGAAATGCGTCCTGCTTGGAACTGGAATATATTTTGGCTCAACTTAGGAATCCATTGAAATTGCAGTGCAAGCGATAAGGCTGAGCAATGTCTATTTTCTCTGGCACTGGGGGTGAGTCACAGTTTTTTCCAAGAGTGAGCGGGTTATACCTGAACTGGGCATTTACTTATGAGGTGGTCAGAGCACTCAGACAAGGGATGGGAATTGATATGGATTGAGGACTAAGAAGAGAGGCAGAGGGGGCCATAACTAACATCTACTCACCCTACACACTACTGGCATTTCAAACCTACTCAGAAACAAAGGATAGAACAACAGAAATTAAAACTTAAGTGAGAAGCAGAATAAAACACAAGGATAGGCACTCTGGGAGGCCAAGGCAGGAGGATCGCTCAAGGTCAAGAGTTCAAAACCAGCCTGAGCAAGAGCGAGACCCCGTCTCTACTAAAAATAGAAAGAAATTAATTGGCCAACTAAAAATATATAGAAAAAAATTAGCCAGGCATGATGGCACATGCCTGTAGTCCCAGCTACTCGAGAGGCTGAGGCAGAAGGATTGATTGAGTCCAGGAGTTTGAGGTTGCTGTGAGCTAGGCTGATGCCATGGCACTCTAGCCTGGGCAACAGAGTTAGACTCTGTCTTAAAAAAAAACCAAACAACACAAGGATGGGAACAGACAACCCCAAGCAGAATAAATATGAAGAAAATCACACATAGGCACATCATAGTCAAACTGCTCTAAACCAAAGATAAAGATAAAATCTTGAAAGCAGCCAGAAAAAAGCAGCCATATCACATAGTAGGGAATAACCATAGGAATTACTGCTGACATCTTATGAGGAAATATTGAGGCCAAAAGATGGGGCGATAACATCTTTAAGCCATTGGGTAAGTAGGGGTTATGTGTTCAGCCAAGATTTAGTAAAAATGTGCCTTAAAAATTATTTTTATGAATGATATATTTGAAGTTACTTGTACCATTTTTGGGTGTGTGTTGTGTGTGTGTGTGTGTTTTCTATTTACTAGTCTTTTTCTTTGCTTTGCTCATCTTTCTCCACTTTTCTTCCTAGATTGATAATTTATTCTTTTTTCTTCCTCTGACAGTTTTGAAGCTCTAGTTGTGCCATTCTATTTTTTTTAATGGTGATTCACATTTTATAAGGATATGCACCTATAAGTGTTTTCTATATATCTAGTGTTATTCGACCTTTCAGTCTCTGGCAAACATGGTAAGGCTGTAGTCAATGGTCCAGCATTATACACCCTCTCTTTTTCCTCTACTTCCTTTCTCACTCTCTGTCTTTGGGAGAGACTATCTTCCAAAGAGTAACTGTTTCATTTGTTGACTTGACACAATTTTCTATGGCGGTCACATATCTTCCTGAATGTTTTGTGTTACTTGTCCAAACCAACCCAAATCCCTAAAATTGACTGTAGAAGAAATAATCCTATTTCTTTTCCCTGTATTGGAAAATCCGAGACAAGATTGTCCTAAGTTCCACCAAACAACCACTATCATCATGTAAAAGCAATTATGGTAAAGCTTTTTAAAGGGTAACTTCTTATTATTAATATTAATGGCATCATATATATGAGTACTTTGGAGTATACAACTATTTCACATATTTTTGGGTTCTCCAAAAAAACCTTTTGACATATTCTTTTCATGTCATGTTAAAGATAAATGAGCAGGGGTTCCAACAGACTAAAATAATTCCCAAAGTTGTTATAACTAATAACCAGTAGAAGAAAATATCCTAACTTCATATTCCATGGCATGTTCAGTAGGCATTTAGTAGTCTTAAGATTA